ATATATAGTCACATAGAAACTGTATTACTTAAAACACTGCTTGGGCCATTAACTCTAACTTCTTATTGGCTAATACTTATATCTTAATTTAACCCATCTCCATTAATCTGTGTATTGCCACATGGCTGTGGCTTACCCACTAAAGTTCTAGTATCTGTCTCCAGCAGGGCTACATGGCTTCTCTCCAACTCTGCCTTCTTCCTCCCATCATTCAGTAGAGTTTCCCCCGCCTAGCTAAGTTCTGCCCTGTCAGATGAAGCCAGTTTTTTTTTCTTAATTAACCAGTCATATTCACAGCATACAAAGGGGAATCCCACATCATGTATTATTGCAGGGAGAGGGCCTGCTTGTTTGTCCCAGCCACCCGGCTAGCTTACACCCAAAATAATCACACAGAAATTGTACTAACTAAATCACTGCTTGGCCCAGTATCTCTAGCCTCTTATTGGCTAACTCTCACATCTTGATTTAACCCATTTCTATTAATCTGTATTTCGCCATGTGGCAGTGGCTTACCGGGAAAGATTCATCATGTCTGTCTCTGGCAGCTCAATGGCGTCTCTCTTTCTCTGCCTTTCTTCCTCCCAGCATTCACTTCTGTCTTCTCTGCCTACCTAGGTTCTGCCCTATCAACTAGGCCAAGGCAGTTTCTTTATTAATTAACCAATGAAAGCCACACACAGATATAAGGAACTCCTACACCAATGTGTCTTATCAAATTATTATATTTAGCACAGCTATCAAACCTCTTTTTAAGATAAAATATTAATTACCAATCTGATAGTAATTACAATTGATATTATGTCAATCTTAGCTAGGTTATTTATCCCCTCATTTATATTTTCCATCAAACCATCCATAGTAGCACTATACAAGGTCCTAGCATCCTGCATTGTGATGTTCCCTATTCTTAACATGGGAAAGATCTCTCCTACAGGGTTTCCCAAGTATTTCATGAAATCTGCTGACTTCTCCATTTGTTCACGGTGCCGGTGGCAAAGTCAATTCCCTCCCGCACTTTCCAAACTCAAGCCTGCTTTTTGGAGTTCTGGCAAGCAGTAGCCAGCTGCTGTGAACACTTTCTAGAAGAGGCCTGAACAGCAACTGCAGTGGAGCTGGTGTGATCCCTCCATCCATGTGGTCGGGCCACGAGTTGGAGCACCAAAATGTGGCTTTACATTCATCACAGTGGCTGAGCTCTAAACTGCTCTTCCATAGGCCACTCAGCCAAAGCCTGGGAGGAATTCTGCTCCCCAGACAATGACTCTGTTGCTGCCACTGAAGGTAGTTATAATGCAGTCTCTGTTGTTCTAATGAGACTCAAGAGTCAAAGGCCAGGGTGAAAACCTGTGAGCTCAGAGAGTCAGAGTAGCAACTGACTAACTTTCTCTCTTTGCTGGCATCCAAGCCGCTCTCCTTCCACACTGCCCCAGTTAACAAGACAAAAAACAAAGCAAAACAAAAAAGAACAACAAAAACACAAAATAAAGCAAACAAACAAAAAACCCATGCTAAGCTCCTCCCTTCTTCCTGTTGCTTACCCTGCCTCTCTGAGCCCAGGTCACTCTTATTTAATTAACGCAAATGCAACACATCTTTACATAGTTACACAAATGCAGAATAAACACTTGTAACACACCTTTGACTCGATAAACAAATATTCCACGAAGGGAATCAGACACCCCGGGACTGGAGTCGCAGATGATTGTGAGCTGCCATTGAGGGTACTGGGAACTGAACATCAGTCTCTGAAAAAAAAAAAAAAAAAACCAGCTTGTACTCTTAACTGCTGAGCCATCTCTCTAGCCCCAATAATGGGACTTTTTAAGTTAGTAAAAAAAAAATTTTTTTTGAAGTAGGGTGTCTTTGTGTATCCCTGGCTATCCTGGAAATTTCTCTGTAGGACAGACTGGCCTCAAATTCATAGAGATCTGCCTGCCTCTGTTTCCCAACTGCTGGGATTATAGGTGTGCACTACCACACTTGTAAAATGTTTTCTATTGTGATATTTATATTAATGTGTGACCTTTGTGATGAACAAGAAAGGAAAGGCTGAAAAACAAGAAAAAAAAAAGGAAAGGCTGTGGCTTAGCAGTGATGTGTCTGTGTGTTGATAAGGGGTCAGTTGTACTGGATAATTTTATGCTAACTTGACTCAAGCTAAAGTCATCTGAGAGAAGGGAACCTCAAATAAGAAAATTCCTCCATAAGACTGGGTTATAGGCAAGTCTATGCAACTTTTAAACTAGTGTTAATGAGGAAGAGCCCAGCCCATTGTGTTTGGTCCACTGGCCTGGTGGTCCTGGGTTCAATAAGAAAGCAGGCTGAGAAAGCCATGAGGAGCAAGTCAGCAAGCAGCACCCTCCATGGCCTCTGCATCAGCTCTTGCCGCCAGGATCCTGCCTTGCTTGAGTTCCTGCCCTACTGTGTTTGATGATGAACGGTTACATGGAGCTATGCGCTAAATAGCCCTTTCCACACCAAGCTGCTTTGGGTCATAGCAACCCTGACTGAGTGCCTGGAGACGAAACTCTGCCCATGCACACAACTCTTCCCCAGGTTTGCCTTTGTAGCACACCAGCAAACACAGGTAAAGTATTTCCCTGACATGCTGACCTGATCAGGAGGAGTCATGGGAACGTTGTGCTGTGTGTCATACCCGAGTGCTGTGTGACACTCTTCCTGGGAAGACAAGAATAAGCATCTACTTGCTACAGTGACAGACCAAAAGTGAGGATTCTACTAAAGTGAGCCTCTGAGTTTTATTGAGGTTACCAGGAAAAAAAGTAACTCAAAGGCATCTATATTCCTAAAGCCTGAAGCTGGGCTCACAAACTAGTCCCCGCAGAGTACTGGGAGAGAGAAACCTTTATGGATTCTTAGACTTAGGATGGTGAGTTCACACCTCCTGGTATGTATGTGTGTTCATTTAACAGTGCTGGGATTGAACCTAGGACCTCACTTGTGCTAAACAAGTAATCTACCACTGAGCCACATCCCTAACTATATTTTTACTTTTTAAAAAAGGGATTTATTGGCTGGGTGGTGGTGGCGCACACCTTTAATCCCAGCACTGGGGAGGCAGAGTCAGGCGGATCTCTGTGAGTTCGAGGCCAGCCTGGTCTACAAGAGCTAGTTCCAGAACAGGAACCAAAAAGCTACGGAAAAACCCTGTCTCGAAAAAAAAAAAAAAAAGGATTTATTTTGTTTTCTTCTTAATTATGTGTGTGTGTGTGTCTAACTGTGGATATATGCATATTCCTGAGGAGGCCAGAAGAGGGCATCAGAGCTCGTGGAGTTGACCTTACAGAGGATTGTGGGTTTGATAACCAAACTTGAGTTTTCTGCAAGACAGCAACTGTTCTTAACTGATAAACCATCTGTCTGCCTCTATATTTTTTTTCTTGGCCCTGGAAGATCGCATGCACTTCCAAGTTCTCCCCCAGATCCCGTATTTTCAGATGATCCTAACCCACATCTTGTCTTTCCCACAATAGCACATGGATGTTTCGTGTGGATTATGATAGAATGACATCACGCAGAATTTTCCCCCAGGTTTGTGGTGCTTACAGGGAAGAAGACACTCCTTCCAGGCATGTGCCTTGCTGAAGTTTAGGAACCTTGTACTAATCCCCTGGTGAGAGAATCTCAAGGTTGGTAAGGCTGAGGTGCAAGGTCAGGAGGTATCTGGCCTCTGTGGGAAGCAAAGTCGGGTTAAAGCCGTGAAGCACCTTGGTAGGAGCAGTTTTTTTTTTAAAAAAAAGATGGCATCCAATATGGTGCAGATCTCAGTCTCAGTCATAGCTGGCCACTAGTCCCAGCCATAGTACTGGATGCAGCTTCAGAGAGCAGCTCAAAGTGGTGGAATGGAGTCCATCTGTCTAGGAGTTAGCTGGCGTACAATGTCTGACACAGGTGTGATGTCATCAGGGGACTTGGAAGCGTCCCAGCCAAAGATACTACTCATGACTAGCTTAATGTCAACTTGACACAAAATGAGTCGTTTTGGAAGCAGGAACCTCAGTTGAGAAAGTGCTTCCCCTAGATAGTCCCGTGGGTGAGTCTGTGGTGCATTTTCATGATTGATGTGGACGGGTCTAGCTCACTGTGGGGTTCCACCTTGAGCTGGTGGTCCTGGGTGCTATAAGAAAACAGACTTTACAAGTCACAAGGAGCAAGCCAGAAAGCAGCACTCAGCACTCTTCCATGGCCTCTGCATCAGCTCCTGCCCTGACTTCCCTGAATGACAGACTGCAGACATATGAGGAAATAATTTGGTCAGTGTTTCATCACAGCACCATGTTAGTTAGAAACCCTAACTAAGACACAGGGTAGCAGCCCCCATGGATGTTACTGGGGTTGTGTCTGTGCAGGTTGATACACCCCCTGTTCTGTACCGTTATCTCAAGCTGGAAGAGAGTCCCGGACTCAAGAGGCAGAATAGCTCTATGAGTTTGGGGATAACCTGGTCTACACACACAGTGAGTTCCAGGTCAGCCAAGACTACATGGTGTGTGTGTGTGTGTGTGTGAGAGAGAGAGAGAGAGAGAGAGAGAGAGAGAGAGAGAGAGAGAGAGAGAGAAGGGGGAGGGAGAAGAAAAGGGAGGGAGGGGGAAAGAGAAAGAAGTTTCAGTCCCTCCTTGCTGGCAGCTGCTTGAAATGGCTGCTGTGCTCTAGGAATGAACGGCATTGGGATACCCTGCTCGTGCCCTGGGAATGCTCCCCAGAATCGTAGAAAAGGTAATAGCATAAAGCTGTTTATAAGATACACCCTTCTGGATGTTCTATCGGGAACTCACCAAGGCCAGCTGGCCTGGGTCTGAAAAAGCCTGGGTTAAAACCGGTCTCCCTGAACATAGCGGACAATGAGGACTACTGAGACCTCAAGAACAATGGCAATGGGTTTTTGAGCCTACTGCACGTACTGGCTTTGTGGGAGCCTAGGCAGTTTGGATGCTCACCTTACTAGACCTGGATGGA